AATTTCACTCTGTAATTCTATAAAAGTAAAACAATGTGTACATAGAAATCACAATGTATGTCACACACACACAAACTTGATTGAGTGATAGTGTATTCATTCTGAAATGATACTTGCTCTAATTCTTGTTGAAGATCGTCAATCTTTATTTGTAGCTCCTCTTTCTCAATTTTCTCTTCTTTTAGTTCCTTCTCAAGTTCCTCCAGTTGTTTATGAGTAAGCTCATTATCTATAGTATAATAATGATTGGAGTATCAATCAATAATAATTATTAATAACACTATATAACCTGATATTAATTCTTCATATTGTTCTGTCTTGTGTTTCAAGTCTCCAGTAACTTCCTCCTGTTGTTCAGTAAGTGTTGCTATTCTCTCTTCATATTCCTTTGTAACTTGTTCACGAAATTGTTTCTCTTTTGTATGAAGTTCCTTTTCTTCCTCCAGTTGTTTTTGAATAGTTTCAACTTTCTCCTGCAGCAACATACTTGATCCTCATCCTTTTCTGCTATTCCTATACTCAATAGTTACATTATGTATCATATTAATAATATTGATGTACCTGCTGGTACTTCAGTTGTTTGTGTGGATGATGTTCGTGTGGATGATGTTAGTGTGGATGATTCTTGTTTCCAAACTTTCTTTATGCTACCATCATCTCTAATGACATTTAGCTTTAAATGACGGGGTAAAACAGCTGATGACAGTCTCTGTACATCTTTAAGTACTGAATAGCCAACAACTTCAACAACAATGGTAACAGACTTAATTTGTGATAAAACTTTGAAAAGTTCTCCTTCCAAAATTTGACGAAGTTTTGTTTTTAATTTCTCAAAAGCTTCTTTATATTCCTCAATAGCTGGCTTGCCCTCCTTTATATTAAACTCATTAACAAGATACTCCAACATGCTATTATCATCAAGTGAACTTTTATCACGCACTAATTGTAAAATGTCATGAATATTTTTACACTGAGCTAACTGAGGCAATAATGTCATGTTGTATGTACTCAGTACATGTTTGATATCATCAATGGATGGAGACCGAGGGTTTTTTATCATAATTGAGTCGACTATATCTGCCAACTTCATTCGCATTATCATAAACTCTGAAGTGACAATCACAGGAAGATAAACCTTCAGTCCTTTAATAAAATAATTAATGCATTATAAATGTAAAGTAAAGACACTTACCATTCTCATCATCACTCCCATAAATCTCTCCTATGCAACAATCATTAGTTACTGTTATAGTATACTACGTGGGCGCATCAAAGGCACTGCCTGTTCCGTTATATTGCATACAGCACTGGAAGCGAGTGTCGGTTGGTTGGTTTCACAATGGCTAGCAGCACTGGGTGAGAAGTTCTTCGTGACCAGAGAAGACTCACAACAGAACAAATTCACAACACTCTTTTACCACAATTGTTGGCTTTTTTCTGTTTATAGTGACCAAAGATGTTCCTATATTGATCGTCGGGCAGCATCACGTGGCAAAGAAAATCGTATTGCAAGCTTTTAAATGTTTGTAATGGCTTTGTCTTAACCTTGAAGACTCAAGAAAACTTCTCCAGGAGTGCATTTGGCAGACGCCTTTGATGCGCCCACTATATCCCATAAACTAATTATAGCACAGTAAAGAGTGCTGTATTGGCTGTCTCGACTCCACCCCTCGTGCCGTTATCAGCCATACAGCACTCTTTACTGAGCTATAACTATAATAATGTTATAATACATGTACTTACTGTAGTCTCTCATGATAGCAACTCCTATCTCAGCAGTAGTTTTGGATTTGCATAAAATATCAGCAAATGTCACGAGTTTTCTATAATCATGACACACAGCTTCTTTTATCTCACCGTCCATTAAATCCTTTCCCAGTATATAATCTGCGGAAATCATGTCTTGTATAAGATCTGCTTCATTCAATTCCATAGCCAGCTGAGGTAATGCAGACAGTAGAGATTGGTTTGAGGTATAGCGAGCAAGAATTCTACAAGCAGGATGCTCTAAACAATAAGCAAATAAATGAATATGAATTCTATACTCAACTCACTCTCCATATCTATTCCATCAGCTACTTCATTCTCTCCTAATTTCCTCAATGCTGATATCAATGAACTGATAGTTGGACCACCTTTAGTCTTTTGTACATCATCAGCGTTCTGTAACCATTTAGTAAGACACTCATGCAGACAACTCTCAGTATCTCCTTTATTATTCAATATGATGGCATTCAGTGTAGTAGGCGATAGACCAAGATGAATACCAAGGTCATGGCAATTGACTCCGCCAATTCCAAAAAAACTAGAAAAATTACTAGATCTATGTCTTCTGAGTAACTGAAGTACTTCGGGTAGATCATTAACTATTAAATAATTTTAATAAAAGAAAATAAACAATTAAATATACCTGTCAGATGATTTGGAAAGACTAATGCTACAGAAGAGAAAGGAGTAGTCAAAAGTGCCATTAGAGCCTAGCAAAAGGACATCTCGGACTTAAATAAATTCATTGATTCTTAGTTTTCATAATTGTAACGATAGAATGTGCAGCCTCAAGGCGGATTTACAATATTACGCTAGTCCTGACGTTACGTTGACGCTGGAATAGAATCTGGTTCTATTCCAGCGGAAAGCATGCGTCAAAAGGTCAAATCGCCCACGCTTTTGATTAAAAATTGACGGTACGCTGGCCTAATGTCATATTGTAAATCCGCCTTCACTGTCCATAGCTCGACGAAGTCAACGTAGAAGCCATTATTGACCTGGCGGGTGGGGCTGAGAATGACCACGAGTTCAATGACTGTGTTGAAGTTAGCAGCACATTTTTTCAGCAGCACATTCTTCTAAAACCACAGGTAGGGTGTCTAAAGTGAAAATCTGAAAATCAAGATTTAAACTAATAAATATCTCACATTTTTTACCTAACTGAATAAATGCTCCAGCTCAAGTAAAATCGCTAGGAAACCAGTGGTTTCACATTTATGATTTTAAAAAGTTTTAAAATCCTGTCATCAAAGGGTTAAAATTAAAAATTAATTATTGAGTATTAATTAATTGATTTCTCTCGACCTACGTGAACCTAGTCTCGCCGCCCAGAGCAACGACGTAAAGTGGTACAAGATAATCTCTCTGTGTTTTGTGCCTACAAGGTAAGAGTTTTAATATAGAAATTGTTTAAAACTACTTGTTAAGTGCTTGTAATAGGTTAAAATAGTGATGAGGGTATTTGCGGTTTTTTCACCAATTAGTATAAATAATTTTGTAAAACTACACCGAGTTAATATACGAGATCCCTCATAGTGTTTTTGCATAGAGGGGTGGTTCTTCTATTTGTGTACATAATTTAGAGTGATTCCTATATTCCTATCCATCTGGTTCAATGATTGTTTTACATGTAGGTTACTCTCAAATGAATACTAGAGCTAAAGGTAGTCTCGCGTAGCCAGACCACACCCTCCGTGCCTCCGGGAGGGTCTGGTCAACTGAGCATTCCTTCTTCGTTCTGCTTCACCCAAAACTGGGTGAACCGGATGCGGTTACACGTGGTCAACTGACATAATGTCGGTCCGTATACTTACACACACACTATCGGTATCCCACGTGGAAAGTCATGGTTGCTGCTTGCTTTCTTTGTGGCGAGGAGATCGAGAGCAGGACTCAAAAGGCGAAGAAGCTCCTCTTATTTGACAGAGCAGGAAAGAAATACTTGACTGTATTAAATGATTTAACGGAAGAGAGCTTTGGTAGCCCATTATTTGGTGAAGATGAAGCAGGCAATGACAGGGATAAGACATATATTTGTCACAGCTGTTGCTCTATTGTGGACAAGCTGTTGTCACTCAGAAAAAAGGCAGAAGAAGAAAAGAGTAAAGTTTTACAGAAATTAGAGTCATTAATGAATTCAGAGCCACAGCAACAGGTTATATTAATTTCTTAATTTGACACCTGTAATAATCATAAGTTAACAACAATAGAGCACCCCAAGAACATCCAGAAAAAGATCTATAAGTGCAAGGGAGTTGAGAGCAAAAGTAAGATAAGCTTTCATGTTTGCAATTTTGTGATAATAATGATTTAGTTAACTGTTCCTTATGGGCCATATGAAAAGACTTATCTATTGAGCCCTTTCTCTGAAGAGAATTCGAAGCGTATGGCAAGAAGAAGTTACAATGCCTTATCAACATCCTTATTAGAATCTGAACATACTGGTAACATTTTCCT